AGTAGTATGAAATTCTGATATTGCTTATTGTTCTCATTGTTTATAAGAAGAACTCTAAACTGTGCAGATTACTAGAATTCTGCAGCCAAACTTTTGAAGGATGAAATAAACAGAGCAGCCTAAACAAAGGGTGTCGTAGCAAAGCCCACTGCCAGAATTAGGGAAGAACAGTAGTTAATTTTCTCATATGCTAACAAACTCCGAGGCACACTCTTCAGTTTGTTTACTGCCATTTAGATAATTTAACAAAAGAATTTCAGTAGCTGCGACTTGTAGATCTTTGCAGTAATTAACATATGCAATATGACTAGGAAATTAGAGTTAAAAAAGACCTTTGGGGACCTTTTGAAGTTTTTAGTTCAAGACATGTTAATGTTAATCAAGATTAGAAAATGTTAATTAGTATGAAACCCTAGTGTTACTATTAGTAGGGCAGGCAGCTTAAAATCAAAATTGTGCAGCCTGTGATCTTCAAAGGAGTATCATTCTTGAATTTGTTGAGAAGGTGCTTTTTAAGACTGGCTGGAACACCCAGGGAGAAAATTTGGTCAAACCTTCATAGGTCACCATTTCTTGCCATGTTCCTAAAGCAATTATGTGAAATTCCGTTTGGAGTTTCTAACCCCAACCCTTTACCAAGGGACCAATTAATCATAGTTTTGAAGAATATGAGTTGGGAAGTTCCTGATTTAAATGTCAGTTTATTGGATAATACGACCAAGCTGGAAATTCAACTGGAGATTCACCATGTAATTCTAATTGGGTATTTTGTTTCCATTATATCAGGAAATGCAAAGATGGGAAGTTGCAACTGGGAACAGAGCGTATTATCAGGACAGATCCAGTATGGTTTAAAATTAGAGTTTTAAATTTCATTTTGTTGTGGATGTCTAAGGCTGCTTTTTAAGTGAAAGGAAACCCTCAGGAGATGGTTGCATACATTTACCTTTTCCTTCAGTGAAAGCACAAGAAAACACATAATATTTGGCAGAACTAAGAGGGCACAAAATTCAAATATGCTTCAGAAAACAGATTGTATGTGCAGTCTTTCAATATTTTGTAGGAGACCTGTACTGTTGAATTGTCACTTTGAAAATGGAAATGAAAAGTATCATTATAAAGCCTCAGACCCCAGATTTTTCTTAAGTAGTTCTATTTAGATTTTTTTGGGTGTCTTAGATTGTGGTGTCTTTATTTTTTCTTGCTCCAATCTTCCCAAATATTGATCCAGTGTGCTGTTCTAAATGGAGCAATGACTTAATTCATACAAACTGAATTGAGCATCAAGTTGAGTCTGCATGTTTGATAAGAATATCCCAAGGACCTCCTCCAGTTGATGGAAAGAGGTCATGGACCAGATGGCTGGCCTTTTCTGTTGTAGTTCTTGTATTTTGGAACTCTTGTCCCCCAAAGGTTCACTCAGCATTTTCCCACTCCTGGAATTTCATAAAACAACATTATGGTTTTAACTAGAAAATTTTGGGTTTGTGGGTGGCATTGGCTAGGGCTCTTAACCCAAACTATGGTTAAGATACATCAATGAGACATTTGTTATTTGGCCTCATGGAAAAGAAAACATAAACAATTTCCTAACACACCTAAACAGCACACACCCCAAAATCAAATTCACCATGGAAACGGAAACAAACAAACAACTACCATTCCTAGATGTACTAATCTACAAAAAAAAAACCAGATGGCACACTAGGACACACCATATACCAGAAGAAAACACACACCAACTGCTACCTTAATGCCCAATCCCACCATCACCCAGCACAGATAAACTCCGTGGCCAAAACACTTATTGCCAGAATGAAACACCTGGCAAACAAGACACACATAAAGACTGAACTATGCACCCTGACTAAAGTACTGACAGCCAACGGCTTCCACAAAAGCAAAATCACAGGGCTGATCCACAAAAACACACTGAGACATAATGGAGACCTAGAAGATGAACAGACCTATGGAACAGCTGTCCTGCCCTACATAAGAGGTACTACAGACAAAATCAGTAAGATACTAAACAGGCATCACATCAAGACTGCCTTCAAAACAGACAGAAAAATAGCAGCCATCCTTAGAAACCCCAAAGATAAAATTGACCTGGAAAACCAAGGCATATACGAAGTCCCCTGTGCATCATGCCCTGCCACATACATTGGACAGACCAATAGAAGAATAAGTACCCGCCTGGATGAACACAAAAATGCAGTCAAAAAGCTGGAACACACTTCCTCACTAGTCCAACACATGAAAGCCACAGGTCATAGCATCGACTTCAATGGCAGCAAAACCCTAGCCACTATAGAAAACCCCAGCTACAGAATTATCAGAGAAGCCATAGAGATTGAAAAAAAGACCTGAAAGCATGAATAGAAGAGATGATTCCACCAGACTGTCAATCATTTGGAAGCCTGCACTCACAAACAAAAAAATCTTCACACCACAAGCCAGGCAAACACCTGGGCACAAACAGACTCCCCCTGATACCTCCAGCTCAAACACACCCCAAGCAGGCACCCAGATGAAACCTAGCTTCCTAATAAATGATAGCCATCTGTTTACTCGGAGCCAAGCTGCACTAAAAGCCTCCAATACAGGAAACACAATGTTGCCAGCCAATTAAGACACACACAAAAAGCCACAAAACAGACAGAAGATATTAGAAACACCAATATATATATATATATTGCATCCTTAGAATCTTTACTATATAATGAATTACTGCAACGTCTGACATGTTAAAGGAAGAATTTGAAGGGTCTTCCATCAGTACCCACCAGTGGTGGTATTCTACCGGTTCGGCCCAGTTCAGGCAAACCGGTAGTAAAAAATGCTTGTATCTAACATCTTCATTGCCAACGCCACAAAATTTGGACAGCCTTGCTTTCTTGAAATGTAGTGGCTGTCAGAAATGAGCTTTTGCTTCCCAGCTTCTCTAAACAAGCTTATAGCATCTGCCAAAGGACCTGTGGTGGCACAGTGGTTAGAAGGTAGTATTGCAGGCTAACTCACTGCTCACTGCCAGGAGTTTGATCCTAACCGGCAATATGCTGATTCTGTAAACTGCTTAGAGAGGGCTTTAAAGCACTACGAAGTAGCATATCAGTCTAAGTGCTATTGCTATACAAGGTAAAAGTTGCCATTGCAGTTGAAAGTATGTTTCTTCCTAAGCATTTTAAAAATGCTGGCTAATAATGATTACTAATATGATTGCTAATATGAAGATTCCATATACTGTTAACTGAGAAAAGTAATCTTTCATTGCTAAAGCAATATGAAACAGGTCTTGTCTGATAACTAATATTCTGAGTTTGGAAATAAAAAATGTAGGTTAGGTATGATATCATAATCCAGGTAAATATCAGCAGAGATCTCTTTTTGTAAACTGTTTTCAGAAGTGCAGCTAATTTAAACAAGTAGTTGATCTTGGTAGTAGCATGGAGCAGTGAACAAAAACCGAATGGAAAGACATTTAGAATTCTGAAAAAAATCATATAGCAAAAAGATTCATGTTCAGTGGTGTAGCAAAAGCACTGTGTACTTAAAAGTCTTGAGCATTTTCTTGTGTTAAAAACAGCTTCAAATGCCTTCACTGTGTTTGAATTTTGGGGAACCTGCTTTATTTCACAGGGGGGAAAAACAGGGTTATCATTTGCATGTCTATTCATAAGTAAGCTCATTAAAAAAGAAAACCTTTGCTCAACCTTAAGTGTCTTCAGATAGGGCAGAGAAAGACCATTATCTGCTTTTGAGCTAGCTGCATATACAGCGTGCTGAGCTAGATGGACCAATGGGTCAGATCAGGAAAAAAAACACTTCCCATATTACCAGTATCTGCAGCTACTTGTATTTTTTGCCTTTCATTTTCTCTGTGAGCAAAGGATGCCTTCAGTTAACTGCCTTCTCTGCTATTTTCCATGTGGAACCTCTTAATAAGAACTGAGGTAACATGAATTTTTCTAACATGGCAAATAGAATAATATTGATATCAGAGCTACAGGGAAGTACTATGTCTTTAATTATCTCCAGAAGCAAAACATCACTGTTCCAAAAAAATCACAAAAAGGGAGGGGGAGATTGGGCTTCATGTTACACAAGGTTCTTCCTGCTACCTTCACGTATTCCCAGATCTATTTTTCTGGGGGGGGGGAGGGGTTCCATGCAGTTTTCCCTAATCTCTTAATGATGCATAAAATTATTTCACCTTTGCTTTGACATTTATTTATACAGCCTGCCCTATTTGAAAGATTTTCAACTAGTACTGAAGCAGAACATACAGGTGAAATATAAGAAGCATCCTATCAAAAAATGCTCTTGTGCATATTAAAATCTTTCTTGCAAAGCGAGTCAAACAAGAATGTTTTTGCACTGCTTTTGAAAAGTGCCATTAGGACCAGTATACTACACTGACACACAATCACTAAGCTATCCACTTTTACTGATTTTATTTCTGTAGTCATCCTATGATTTTTATCTTTGTGATTATCGTCATCTTTGAATTATTGCCAATCAGTGTTTAGATTTATTTCATAAATTGAGGTAACTCATAATAGGAATTGCATTAATTTACTAAATGGGTGAACATGGAATTAAATGCCTAAGATTCTATCAGTGAGATCCTACAGGACATGTTAGGTTTTGGAAGGAATTTGACTATCTAAGCACAGAGCATTTTTTGAGTCTTTGTTTTGTAAAGTGAAAATTTCTATACATGCTCGATGTTAGTAGTAGATGTCACATTATATCCAGTGCAATTTATGATTTCAATCTATACTCAGAAGTCAGGAGAAGAAACAAAAGTCAAAATGCCATTTCTTCAGAGCGCATTCTCCTTTGTAAGTGATTGGAACACTTGTCTGCATTGTTTATCTGACCATAACTTATTGAGAATGGTTCTGTTCATTTGTGGGTGGGTTTCTGTATAAGTGTGTTTGTGTTGAAGTTTAACTGTGCAGATGCTAATTTGAGGGCTATATTTTGTTTTCCTGCAGGTTGCTTTTCTGAAAATGTAGCATGACCTGTAAAGGAAAAAAAAAAAAACTCATCCTTTATCTGTCAAGAATTATGGAACATAAGACCTCAAGTGAAGATTGTATTTTTCAAAGTGGTACCAACAATCCTGAATCAAAATCTGGATATTTCAGCTGTTTGTTGACTTTGGAGTCTTCTGATGTTCAGAAAATTTGACAGAGGCAAGTTGTTCAAGCATAGTTGTAAAACCAGAGTTCAGAGAGTGAATTAATTTGAAATGTCAGGAGTCTGAGATCACTGTAACTAACATCCTACTAATTCCCCAAGGAGAAGTCAATTATCTTCTGAAACAACATCAGCTTTACAAAGAAGGCTTGATAAGTAGCTCCTTTGCCTTTTTTGAGGAATTAGGAACTGTCTGCCAGGACTAGACACTGGATATTTCAATGTCCAAATGGGAAAGTAAACTGTAACCCTTTTTGGTAAGCTGTTTTAACTATAATTATTTTGAGAGGCCCCGCAAAGCAAATGGGTTAAAACTGGAGTTCTCAGAATGTGAATTGGGGTTCTTCCAGTACCTTTACCACTTTCCAATGTACAGTCTCAAGCAACCTAGAGTGTCACAATTTTGTAAAAAAAATGTAATGGGACTTGTGCAGAAAACATGAGACCACTATCAAAACCCACTTTGAACTTTGGTGTTCTTTTGTTTGAGTGAGTCCAGGGGGAACAGTTGCTGTACCATAATCTTTAAAAATTCCTGTGATGTATAAAGTAAAATTGAATTATTAAAAGTGACAGATTTATCCTTGGCATATTCTTAACACTGATTAAGTCAATACTTTGATTTGATGGGAACGCTCAACACACAAATTCATGTATCATTTTAGGTGATGACAGAGCCATTGAAATAAAAGTTGCTTTCCGTATGCATGCTTTCCAAACCAATTGATTTCTCATGAGTGAGTGATGCAGCTTTAAAGAGCTGTGTATAAATGATAAGAAATAGATGAAACTGGGATGTGATGTGATGGGTGTACTCCGATGTGCCTAATTAGAAAGAATGATGGAGATGAAGAAGATTTTGTGGAGAATATTCCATCCTTAGAACTAGACATGTTACAAAAGGGAGTGGGATGTCTCAGAACCATACATGCTATGTGATAGATTTCTGAACATCATGTTAATATGCTTTGAATGGTTACAGGATCATGTTAATATGAACAGTTACAGGAACTGGGCATGGCTAGTCTAGTGAAGAGAAGGACCAGGGGAGACATGAGAGCAGCCTTCCAATATTTGAGGGGCTGCCACAGAGAGGAAGGGGTCAAGCTATTTTCTAAACTGAACAAGGAGAGATTTAACCTGGAAATAAGGAGAAACTTTCTGACAGAACAATCAACCAATGGAACAGCTTGCCCTCAGAAGTTGTGGGAGCATCATCACTTGAGACTTTCAAGAAGAGATCGGACTGCCATCTGTCAGAAATGGTGTAGGGTCTCCTGCTTGAATGGGGGTGGGGTTGGACTATATGACCTACAAGGTCCCTTCCAACTCTGATTATCTGTATCTGTATCTGCTTTTAAGAGTGTTCAAATTGCACTATGTGGCAGCACCTAGTCAAGGATGATGTGGTTGTTACTTGGAAGAAAGACTACCATTAAAATCTCAGAACTTTGGTTAAATTGAACACTGAAAACAAACAAACAAAGCAAACTAGAAAAAGGCAGTACCAAACCATTCCCTACACTGATACTATGAAAACTACATGATTTGGGTCGTGAAAAATACTGGAGTTATATTTAAAAGAAGAAGTTGAAATTGACCTTTTAAAGTGCCTTTGTTTCTCCATACCTCTTTTTTGGATAATGAGCAGTATGAATCCATGTACTGTATATAAAAGGACTGTATGATATAGTGTGTTTTTAAATCACTTAAAATATATTGCCAATCAAGGAGCATTATCTTATTGTCTATTGTGGGGCTTGAATTCTTAGGATTAGTTGCACAGAGGTGCCAATGCATTTTTAAATGAAACAATAAAATGACTTATTGAATTTTCATGAAAGTGGTGTAGAATTGATCCATGTAAACATGCAATGATTTCAAGAAATAAAAACATGTACCACGGTCCTTAATACATTTACTTAATTGGCTTTCTTTTTAAATCTATAGAAACCATTAAAGACCGCATTGCTACATGTATTTTTAAATTAAGATAAATAGAATAGAATAGAACAGAATAGGAATAGAATAGCTTTATTTGGCCAAATGTGACACACAAGGATTTCTAATTCTTCCTAATATGCACAGTTGTGCATATTGGACTATAATATGAAATAACATATGAGAAATAAAAACTTGTTCTTAATAAATTTACTTAATTGGTTTTCTTTTAAACTCTTTATAAACCATTAAAGACAGCATTGCTATAGCAATGCTGTCTTTAATGGTTTATAAAGTGTTTAAAAGAAAGCCAATGAATGAATGAATGGAATAGAATAAAATAGAATAGCTTTATTTAGTCAAGTGTGATTAAACACATAAAGGATTTCTAATTCTTTCTAAAATGCACAATTGTGCAAATTAGAATAGGTATAGTTGTGGCCTGGCCCTTAGATTTTTTTTGAAAAGTTTTCCTTTACTTCAGCCAGTACAACATTGACCATAACAACATTTCCCATTGCATTGACTTATTTTTTCAGGTTACCAAGCTTTGCCTTTAATAGACTTTGATTTATGTGATCCTAATAAGAGCAGAATAGGCAAAGGCCTTTATTGGAGTATTGAAAAGAAAGTAGATATAGGACAATTTGCAGTATGCTTAGCTGCAGAATGGTATTTTGCAAATAGCTGAGGAAATATACCTCAGGAACTTTATTAAGAGAGCTTTAAAAAATACATAGCATTTTAAAGGAGAAACTTGAGCTGTTATTATAGTTCATTCTTACTTTCTCTTCAAATCTTGGTTTCAGGGTGTGGCTTATAATCTGACTGTTACCCAATCTGCTCCTCAATTTATGGAGTAAGATTTCCTTTCCTATTTACAAATGGATTTGTAGCAATCTTGGCAGTTCTCAATTTATTCACCAAACAAATACTAGGAAACCCCAGTAATTCGCTATCAGCCACAAAGCAAGAGGAAAAGGGTCAAATTGACTGCTTCTCATGAAGGAAACAAGTCAGCTGATTTTCAGAAGAAATGTTTAAGATCATCCAGGAATCACTGCAAATTAATGTGTTCGTTGTAAAGCTAACATTGGCAATTGAGTTTTCAATAGAAGATAAATATAGCTCAGAGTTGAACCATGGCGTTCTCAGTGCACACTGAGCTTGGTTGTTTGCTTCCAGATATTTCATTACTCAACTCGGTAACACTGTCAATATGAGTGAGTCTGAGGTTTGCAGCCTGTTTATACATAATAGTTTGAAGTTTTCCTTGTTAAATGCACTTTTTCTTGCTAAGCATACATGTTTTTGTATGTTTATCAAATGCATACACAGAAGGGGAATGCTGTAAACCAGTGGTTTTAAACCACCAGAGACTGGTTTCAGAATAAAAAAATTGTCTTCCAGAAACTGTGGGGAATGGTTTTTGTGCATGCAACCTAGATCCCATGCATATGAAGATGAGGCTTCATTCACTTTCCCACCGGATACCAGTCCACGGCCTGTAAAACACCATCATTTGAAAGTGTTTTTTTGTTAATGCTCTTGTTTTTTTTAGAAAAATCCAGAAGTATGGTGATAAATATTGTAAAGCTATCCTACAAATTTTATGAGTGTAGATATTTTCAGCCTGACCAATTCTTGGCCCCAGATATATTCCAGTTAATAAAATGTATTTACCTCAGACTTTGGCACATTGTCCTGTCTTCCACTGAGAAATGGTGCAGAAACATGGTTTCTCTTTAGTGGGGTGCCTTCAATTCACAATATGACAACTAGAAATCTGAAAAGTTTACCATCTGGATGGGAGAGAGGGCAGATCAGTGAGTCTTCCCTTTTTCCTCTTCCCTGTCAACTAATAGCCAGTGGATCACAGTTTTAAAAAATAAAATAAAAAAAAATCCAAATAAGTTCTTGAGTCAGCCGAAGCATCCACGGACACATTTTCTTATTTATGTTACTGTAGCTACTACCATGGTTTCTTAATTCTACTTAAAATCATTTAAGATCAGCTTTTTGGTAATTTGTCAGCCTGTATCATTTGTCAGACTTAAGATGGCATAGCAACTAGTCTGAAAAAGATTTATCATGTGGATTAATTGCTGAAATTCTGTTCTCTGACTTTTCTCTGGTAACCCTTCAGGGAAGTAGCAGCATGTGGGAGATTGGGCTTTTTGTAAAAGTGATAGCCACCCCCTGCCCAGTGACTGTTATCTTTTTTGTGGATTTAAGGCATTTTCTATTACCCCCCTCTTTTAAAAATGGGAGGGGGAAGGGGCTTACATATGTATGTGCATGCACGTGATAAATGTATATATGTATATACCCACGCACACACACCGTTTCACCGAAAATACGACCTGCCCTGAAAGTAAGTCCTAGCTTGATTTTTACACATGCGCCCAATATAAGCCCTGTCCCCAAAATACGCCCTAATTAAGATTCCACCCACTCCAGAAAGCCTGGGTAAAAATTAAGCTAGGGTGGAGATGGGCAGTGGGTGGAGCTGCCCTACTATTTACCTTTGGACAGTTGTAGCCAGGCCTCGCACACCCCAACACCTGCCTTGCCGGCCCATTTCTTCTGCAGCCAGCAAGGCTTTCCTGAAGGCCTCTGTGGCTGATAGCAAAGCTCCGTATCGATCCAGAGCTCTGTTATCCGCTGCAGAGACCTTCAGGAAAGCCTTGCTGGCTGCAGAAGAAGAAGTTCCTGAAGGCCTCTGACAGCGAAAAGGAGGCCGGGGATGACGCGCACAAGTGAGGTTAATTAATGGATGACTTCCCTGAAAATAAGACCTGGTGCCCTTTTTGGTAGCAAAAAAATATAAGACAGGGTTTTATTTTGGGGAAAACATGGTGTATATCTATCTATCATATAGATAGATAGATAGATAGATAGATAGATAGATAGATAGATAGATA